GAACATCGACCCCCAAACGAAATCAGAAGTCCTGGATGCAATCAGGATGCTAAAAGCTGGAAAAGCAGCAGGACTGGTTGGAATCTCAGCAGAAGCATTGAAAGTGGACCCAGAGACAACAGCGGACTTGATGACACCACTACTGAAGAAGATGTGGAAAGAGGGCGAAGAAAGGCTACTTATTCAAACTACCAAAGAAAGGAGACTTAAGCCAATCTAAAAACTGGAGCGGAATTATGATCCCGTCCATTCCAAACAAAACACTAAGCCTCACCATCCTGGAGAGAATCAAACAAGCCCTAGATGAAAATCTTCGACCGAAACAAGCTGGATTCAGGAGGAACAAGTTATATATTGATCAAATCGCCACTCTACAGATCATCATTGAACAGAGATTGGAATGGCAGTCACCTCTCTATCTCAGCTTCATCGACTTTGGAAAGGCCTTCGACAGCGTCAACCGAGAGGTGATTTGGCAACTACTTCGCTACTACGGAGTCCCATCGACAATTATACATCTCATTCAACAGTTATACGACAATGCTGCATGCCAAGTAATCCACAACGGGAAACTTACGGAAGCCTTCGAAGTGAGGACGGGAGTGAGGCAAGGCTGTTTACTATCGCCAATGATTTTCCTGATTGCAGTAGTCTGGATAATGCGACAGACAGCAGACGACGAGGGAACAGGCATAAAATGGACTCACACAAAAGACTTGGAAGATCTGGACTTCGCCGATGATATATGTCTGATTTCCCACGAACTGGAAGATATGCAAGTGAATAGGCAACAAGTTGGCGGAAGAAGCATCAAAGATAGGACTTAAGGTGAACATGGAGAAAACAGAGGTGATGAAGATTCCTGGCCAAAAACAGACAACAATCATCCTGCATACATGGGAGGAAACAACCTCCTTTGCCTACCTGGAAAGCATCGTTTCAACTACAGGCTGACGGAACTAACGAGGATATGAAAGCCAGAATCGGAAAAGCAAGACAAGCTTTCATTACTCTTAAGTCTGTGTGGAGATCAACATCAATCAGCATCAAAAATAACATCCGGATTTTCAACTCCAGTGTGAAGCCAGTCAGTGCTACTCACTATACGGATCAGAGACTTGGCCAGCGCGTCATAAAGAGCATCTCAAACAAACTTCAGACCTTCAATAACAGTTGTCTTCGCTCAATACTCAAGATCAGATGGCCGGCCAGAGAAGATCAGCAACAGGGATCTCTGGTAATGAGCGAACCAACACAGCAGGAACTGATTGTGAAACAAATAGGCAGGAAGAAATGGAGATGGATTGGCCATACGCCTAGGAAACCATCAAGTGACATCACTAGACAAGCCATCGCTCGGGAGGAACCCGAAAGGGAAGCGGCGAGTTAATTGTCAGTGCAAGGGTGACTTGGAGGATGTCATGTGAGGAGGAGATGAAAGCATGTGGGCAGACTTCGACGGAAGTGAAAAAGTTGGCAGAAAAAAGAAGGCAATGGAGACGCGCGGCTGAAGCCCTATGTTCCTCTACGAATTAAAGGATCAAATAATAACAATATTATAGACAAAACCCTCGAATTTGAGCTTGAGTTGAGGATGATTTAACTAACTTGAAGAACTCGGTCAGATCAGTCGCACAAGCATTGGATTCTACGAAATATTGGAGAGTTTCATCCCTGCGCCAGTAAGGCAAATAATTGCCTATCGCTCATGTCAAACCTACCTATCCCACTAAGAAAAAGAAAAGGATCTTATTTTAGTTCTGGCAGAGAAATAAAGTGAATAGAAATTCAAATCTAGGCGACAGCACTTTTATAATTCGTATTTAGGTGGTTGAGAGCAAGTGCAAGCAAGTTTTCACCCCGGTTGAGCGATAAACATGTGAAACCATACCTGAAAGCTCATGAAGTTGCTGCACTACTACCTCAAAAAGAGAAACTAATCTCTTGAGGAATTTACAAACGATAACAAACAGACTGTCACCTGGGCTAAATGCTGGACTCAAAAATTTAGATCTGCATAAGCATATCCCTAGCAGAGGTGTGGGAAACCTGACTGTAGTACAGGATCTATAACGTTTGTCTTGACAGTGAAGGATACCAACACAACGTGTTGTGAAGCTATATGAACCTCACGTTCAAGGAATTAGCCTGAATTAGTTTTAAGCCTTAAAGTTAAAAACCCGGTGTATTAGGGCCAGTTTTTATAGCATTAGCCCAGGAAATTTCAGTGTTCGCTCCAATAAGACCGCTTATACTAATCGTTTTGTACAACGTTTGAATAAAACATAGATCTCTGAAGCTTGAGATTCAAGGGTCACCAGGTTATTCAGTTACTTGACAGGTTGTGAATCATGTGTGCTAGTTAGCCCTTCCACTGCGTCTTCGACTTCTCAATTTTAGGGATTTCTTACATTCAACCTATGAGGCGGATCTAAATGTTAAGTAAAATAGCTCATGTCAATGTAGTTGAAGATTGAACGATCAATTCATGGTTGTTTGCTCAAAACCAACTTCCCCAATTTTCGCAGAGGCATCAATACGACAGTCATCGTCTCATCGGTCGCTGTTCAGAAAGAAGATTAAAAAACCGTCAGAAGTAATATTGTGATTTATTATTGTAATATTTGTTCACAGACCGTAGTTGTAACATTGTTTATATGTTGGTGTAACAATAAAGAATCCTCGAGTCAACAATTGGTGTTTTGGTTTTTTCGTCCGTTATTACTAAGCGTTTCTGAGAAACTTCAAGGAACAGTGTGGGCCCGAGAGTAGCAAGAGCTGGGCATTAACGGTTTACGAGACGCGGCTGACAGCTCATTTTATTGCATAATTTTCCCACAGGAAAATGCTGCCTATGGAGCATGAATGGATAGTTTTCGCTATCCACTTAAATTATTATATGTGGTTAAACACGTTAATTATAGCCAGTCTGAGTGTTAATTGAAACTGAGGTTCCACGTCTAAAGAAACCGAAGACGAATCTTCCATCTGTAGGGACTGTTATGAGAGCTCATTGACCTTACAAATACGGGAATAATAATCCCAATCAATGAGACGTTGAATAACAATATATTACCAAAAATGCAGTAATGAGTTATGTCAACAAAAAGGATTACTTGGATGTAAATTTTAAGTCCTCTGCTACAAATTATTTATACAATCCACGGGAACGTTAACTGTTTGGGTTGCGTCTGCTGTAGATGCTCTGTGCCGGTTGTAGAATCGTCTTCGGTTGAGGATAGTAGACTCCTGCAATAAATCCGAAGTATACAACACAGTATGAGCGGAGCAAGTAAGCAGAAATGGCCAGGAAGAAGTCGAAGGCTGCAACAGCATAGTGTATTTCCAATTGTTCACGGAAGTTATATGTATTTCAACAAGAATCCTTTTAAACAAAAATTATGTACAATATCTCTAATTTCTACAAATAACCAAAAAGTATACAATCATATTGTTAAGTACTCCACACGGCTCCCTCCTAGAGGTCCGGAGAGACTACCGGAAACTGTTACTTTTAGTGAAGTAAATAATAATAGTAATAACAATTTTAGAATAAAAATAAGGTTACATAATAACATGCATGTACGCGAGAAGGTATTTGAATCATGTAAAGTCTGAACGCATATGCAAATAGTTCAACAACAAAAAATTGGAATAGAAGGTCATATCAACTAAATGAGGTTGGTTTCTCATTTGCACAAACCATGAACGAAGATTTTTAATGTATAAAGAAAAATATGTATATATACTGTAATTAAAGAGGGGAATTAAAACATAAAAAATATGGATTGAAAATCGATAGTTTCTGAAAAGCACAATATCTGTTTTGTAGGTGAGGCACATATAAATAAATAACGTACTCCAGACACCTCTATTCACAAACCGAGTAAACATCATCTAAACTCGTGATAATTCAGTTGTCTGTATCCGAAACTAGATTTCATAGACGAATTCAAAAGCAAATATGTACAATACACACTTTTACTTGTTTGATTCCTAGTGTGTTTCTCATGTTCATGGCACCAAAACTCTGGTGCCTTCGGGCGTTGAATACAGCTATGTAAATTACTTTGGCTTTACTCATTTAAGATCTGACAGAGAAATGATGATATCTCGCACTAAATGAAGGCTTATTTCCGTGCAAATTCACTATATGTGATATATTATGAGTGACCTTAGAAGCCTCTAAATCCGTAAAAGTAAACCGCCGGTACTACCAAGTGTTAGGAAGCACCTAGGTGTGAACGCACAATATCTAGAAGTACCACAGACATGTGAAGCAGATCGCTTTGTGACGTCCTTCAGAAATAGTGCAACAACCCACCACAGAAGTTACATTGAAACACACTGCATAGACCGTTACATATAGAGAACAACCCACTAATTTCTCTCAACGTTAATACAAGAAACTTTCATCCTTTTTAGAACAAGTAAGAAGTTGATAAGGCTAAAGCACAAGTCATAATCATGAATTTCCGGGTATAATGAAATTCAATATACCGAAAGCGAGAAACCATAACGCAATACCAAGAAACTGTCTCCAAGAATCAATTATATTCTTTACATTCTCTCTCGTCTTAGTCTTCTGATAACTCTAACTATACTTATTATTATTACCGATATACATATATCAACTTCAAATTTTAATCAGCTGACTTGTTAAGTTTTTTCTTGTCTGTTAGTTTGGATAATTTCACTATTATATCTTTTATTACTATAATTTCTTTTTTTGATGAAGATACAGGAAGACTAACTAGTGAAAGAGTCAACTCTATTCACAGTAGTAACAGTCATACTACAAACCACATATATAACTAATTAATTTTTGTATTCAATCTAAGCTACGACGGTCGAGAGGGGGGATGAGCTACGCATAAGCTTACTGAAGATCGGGAACCCATACCTCTTAGTCAAGAAGCGAGCACAAAGAAATCAAATCGGTTTATACTAGCTCGTAAATACGATATTGGATTTTCCCTCAAGGTCATCACAAAGACTTTGTATATTTGATTTGACCTCAGCGGGTAATTTCTTTCAAGGACGATGGTGTTGTTCGACTCATACGAAAAGCAGTATGGTAATCTTACGAGTGAAATAACATTCAAGTTGGGAAAAATTCCTCGCCTTAGTGGCGGTAAGTTTCATGTGAGCTTGTAGGTAATTATTTCAGATGAACGAACGAAAGAAATACGTGATGTATCGACACTTTTTGATGAGGCTAGAGAGTTAATCGAACAGATGTCACTAGAGATTCAAGAAATGCGACCTGACTTGCGAATGAAATATCAAAACAGACTTGATTGCTACCGGAAAGAACTAGAAAAACTCACGTTTGAGTTTGTAAGTTTTCAATATTTTTCTCAAAAGCATGATATAATTGAAAATTAATCTTGACGAGGAGTGTTCAAACTGTCTTAGTTGTTCAGATCAAACGTTTTAAAATCTTGTCATTCATCTTTATATGATTATCTCGGTTGAACTTATTTTGTTATTTTCGCGAATTTACCTTGTTTCAATATAATTAAATCCAGATGTTTATGGTCATATTTATCTCACCATTATAACTCCAATTTACACTCCACTATGTGATTTGGTGGTGATTACTGTTCACTTGATAATGACATTGACTGATCATCACTTGAGGGATCACTATATAGTGATCTATTGGCATACCCATAGATCATTTATTTGTTCAAAACCATACTTATATGTTGTCACAATGTTCATGTTTGTATGAATTTAGATTTCAGATTAAGGTTTATTGGTTGAGAATAGAAGGCTTGTAGCCTGTGTTAATTCTCTTCTAGTAAATTCTAGTGCTTGTCTAAACCCTTCTTGAATGAATCAGTTGAGGTTGCAGACGTTTCTTCAGGGAGTCGGTTCCAATAGTGAGAACCAGCACTTAACAGCAATACGATTTCTTCCTGGCTTTTAAACTCCTGCTATGTCTTCTAAGGTGTTTCGACCTGGTGGGAAGGGAGAAAATAGGTCATGTCCGTAGTCATTATTTAAAATTGTAATTAAAATTATGTAAGTAACAATTGTTGTAGAGTATTCGTCTGACGAGCCCTACCGAAATTCACGAGTTCATTAAACACTTATTTTTTCACAGTTGTCGCTGGACCTAAACTTGCTACGGGAAGAAAATGTTTTCAATAAATAGGATTGAGGTAAAAACTTAACAATGTTATCGATATGGTTGCTCATTTCATAACCATGACTGACCAAGATTTCTGTTTCGAATGTTGGCCCTGATTTTCGAAATTTGAGTGTCATTTCAGTTCATCTCGTGCCCAGATCTGTATTGATCATTCCCCATCCGATGTGACTCCTTTTACAAATTTACCCGGAGCTACCGGTAAATGCCTAGTGTTTCCTAGCTCGATTGCCTACTCAAATGGATTGTACCGTGCGGGCCTACCCACAGTCCATAATTTGCCTCTAAAGGGCCAACAGTGTGAAATCTATCTACACTTTGAATTCATTTTTAATTTGTTTTTGTATCTGCAATATGACACGTCACTTATGTGTAAGGTTTAGTGGTCATTCTTAAATTTTTTTGAGTCATACTTTAAAGAGTTTCACGGTACTTACTCTGTGTTGCATATCAACGACATCCTGGTTGATTGGTCTTTTGATTATACTCACTTCCATAGTATATCCTAACTTTTCTTTACGTTCAATCATATATATGTATGTACTTATCAAATTTTGCTCTAATGAGCATGTCGTTCGATATGTGCCAGTTGGGTAAATTTAGTTTAGCTAGTATTACGAAGCAGTATTCTGCCTTCTCACTGTTGTATCAAAGAATCCACATTAGAACACTCAACTTAACAAATGCGATGCGTCTTAATGACCTCATTCAACTTTAATCTTTAGTTCTGTTGACTGGCTTACGGCACGAAAGCACTTGTCACCAAAAAAATTTTAACCTTGTTATTGTATTTCTTTGAAATATGAAGTGGAATATTGTTCCTTGGTTCAATAAACTCACAGTAACATGACAGCCTGAACCTCCCCGACATCCAGCACACACTCGAATGGGATATAGACACTGGTCAGCCGTCTGTGAGGTCACAAGAGCTATCTGTAATTTGAAACGAGGTAAAGCGGCAGGACCCGACGGAATTATTCCGGAGGTGTTTAAATATGGGGGTGACATACTAGTTTGTAGATTAACTGAGGTACTAGGCAAAGTCTGGGAATCAGAGACAGTTCCATCAGACTGGGGTAAGTCACTTATTATACCGATATCCAAGAAGGGAAACAAGTCCTCGTGTGATAATCATAAGGGGATCAGCCTAACGAACATAGTCTCTAAAATCCTAAGCTCAGTAATCGTGTACAGACTAAGCAGAACTCGGGAGGAACAGACGAGGGAAAATCAAGCAAGCTTTAGACCAGGTAGAGGGTGCATCGATCATATCTTTACTCTTCGACATATTCTAGAACATAGACACACCTTTCGGCGTCCAACAATCGTCATATTTCTTGACTTGAAGGCGGCCTTCGACTCCGTGGATCGAAAAGTACTATGGCAATGTCTGACTGTGAAGGGAGTGCCAATAAAGTACATTGCACTAATCAAGGCACTCTATTCAAACTCACGTAGTCGTCTAAGAGCTTATGGGGAATTGTCATCTGAATTGATAACAACCAGTGGTGTCCGATAGGGATGTCCACTTTCCCCATTTCTGTTTAACTTCATCATAGATATGCTGATGGAAGTATCCTTAACTGAACGTAACGACTTAGGAATCGACTTGTTACCAGGGAAGAAATAGTCTTATGGAATTAGAATATTCAGATGACATAGTCCTGTTAGGGGAGGATTCTGACAAAATGCAGAGTCTTCTAAACACCTTGAGCAGCAATCTTCGTATGTTTGGGATGCGATTCGCCCCTGCAAAATGTAAGATGCTGCTACAGGACTGGACTACGTCAACTCCTAGCTCAGTAAAAGGAGGTGAAGTGATGTAACATGTTGACCACTTCACCTATTTGGGAAGTTGTATTAGCACCAACGGACTGACTGGCGATGAAATCTCAGCACGGATCCAAAAAGCTCGAGCTGCTTTCGCTGACTTACACCAACTTGGGCGTAGGCGTGACATCCGGCTATCAACCAAGGGACGTGTGTAATGCTCATCAGTTCGCTCCGTCCTTCTCTATGGCTCTAAAACATGGCCAATACGAGTTGAAGACATGAAAGGGTTGACTGCTTTCGATCATAGATGTCTGCGATCTCTTTCTCACGTTAGGTGGTTTAATAAGGTAAGTAATGTTGACGTTAGGCGTAGAGTGTTGGGCAAAGAGGGAAAATCAATCGACGAGGCTATAAAGTTACATAAATTGAGATGGCTAAGGCACGTGCTGCGCATGCCTAACCATCGCCTCCCCCCCGACGGGTATTACTAGCTGATATAGGTGCAGGTTGGAAAAGAGTAAGTGGTGGTCAAACAAAAACATGGCATCAATCCATGAAATCCTTGACAGTTAAACTGAGTCAGGTAGGGAGATGCAGACTTCCAGGTTGGGGCCCTCAGGACTCTAGGAATCAATGGCTGGAGACAATAGGTGACATGGCTCAAAATCGTTGTCAATGGCGCAGATGTATTCAGTCTCTGTAATCTTTCATATTTCTTTTTACCATTACCCACTCTGTTTCGCTCTTATACCTGTCAGACTGTATTGATTCTCTTCACTCATCTTCTTGTCTACCTCTGTGTGCTATTTGGAACGTGGCAACTCGAACTGGTGCACTTCGGTGCCAAGTTCTATGTTGAATCCAGACAGACGGACATGACAGCCAGGAATGACAAAGAATAACAAGTCGTAGAAGTCGATTCATTAGAGACGTCGTAAACACTTAAGTAGATAATGTGGTAGACACATTTCATTACTGCATTTCTAAATCCTTGAAATTGGTGTTGGTGAAAACCAGTTGTGTAGTAACACCGTACAACTTACAGTTTACAAGTGAATGTCACTGATGTTTAGCTTGTTTTAAGTGTCCTTATGATAGAATTATTCCGTACTTCACGTATAGAGCCTTCCTCAAGGAACTTATCCCTCATAGATCCTGTTGATTCTCGTGATAGCTCACTATAATTTGTTTTGTAATTTGACAAAGAATAAAAGTGAATAACCCATCTTTTCTGTGCTTGAAATATATTTTTCTCGTTTTCATTTAGATATTTGTTGGACATAAATTTTTGCGTCTTTGGAGTAGTATGCATCTATCTTATTTTCTTGTGGTTGAGACAAATTTTTTTACCTTTATGCTTAGGGGGTATCGTAGATGACCAAAACTAGTTTCGTTAAACTAGCCGTCATCTAATCTACTGCCTGTCACAGTGTTTATGATAATATGAAGGCGAATTGATCTTTTTACGACGTCAAGTTGTATTCGTGCCATCTGAAGTTAGATACACTATACCTTGTGTTCTTATAAGATGTAATAAGTTGGTACAAAATAATACGAGTATTGATTTATTTTAACGACGACGGCTGGTTATCATTACGTCTTACTATGTCAACAAAGGAGACATTTACGCTTACCTTTTTCTTTTGGTTTCGATTAACCCATTTCATAATTCTATTTGTTCTTCATTTTCTGTTGTATTTGTGTGATACTCCGATCTTCTATAGCATTACTGTTTGTATTTGTAGTATCCTTAGTCTTGCTACTATTGACTAACCAATTAATTCTAGTAATTATCTGTGCACGTAGTACTTGAGACATTCTCTCATCCCCATATACCTATCATCCATTTCAGAAGCGACCACGTTACGCTGCGCGCTTACCTGATAAAAAGGATCCGGCAGCTTCTGACGATGAAGAAAGTTTGCGTGAAGAGGTTCTCTTTGATGCAGATATGAGAGCACAACTTCTAAGCAACACTGAAAGGATAGCTCGGTCTACCACGAAGTTGGAGGATGGAGTCCGCATCGCTTTAGAAACAGAAGACGTTGGTGGACACATCTTACAGGATTTAAGCGAGCAGAGAGAAAAGCTTCAAAGGAGCAGAGATCGCGTAAGTTTCCTTTTTTATATATTCATGCAGTTTCAATGTACATTGATCACAGTTACATCAGAACTCTAGATGTTTTATGAGGCATTACCTTCTCTGGCTTATTAAAGGGCACGGAAGTTATGGCATCACTCATGAAAACTTTTACGCCCCGAGACGTTTGTAGTGTGACTTAGCCATCCCATACCGATTTGTTTGCAGATCTACGAATAACATTTCGTTTTTATACCACCTGGTATCCTAGGTCGAAGAAGAATGATATCAGATGGTTAGAATTTGCCGAGAATTCATCCGGAACAGTTTTATTTACACATCACGCTGTGGTACATACCTGTTGTGGGGGGGCTGGTGTTACTGCCCAATCTGAATTAGGTGTATCAGGTTACCCATTAGCACTGTCTATTCGAAGTAGCTCCTCAAAATCAAGCCAAAATCCGAGTGAACAAGGTCGTTGTTATTTTTGGACGTAAAAATTATCACGAAATTACCACTTAAACGTGTCAACCCTTTCAAACCCATGGTAGCCACTTGCACAAACATTCTTTTTTGTTTACTCTTCTCCCACAACAAACTACACTTTCGAATTAATCGAATAAATTCTATTTCTTCTCGAAGATTACATTCTCAAAAACAGCTGTACAATCGCATTTATATAGATTATTTTACATGGACACAATTATTAGTTGTTTAATTCCACATAGTAACGAAGGTGATAATAATTTTCAACTTGATATGAAAGTTTGAAGGTAAGAATATAGATTACAAGGGGCTTAGAGACAAGATTTCATAGGATTAGAAAATAGTTACAACGTATGCAAAAATTAATATTTGATAATTGGAGAAATAATAGTTTTAAAGGCGAATAAAAGGTGATAATTGTTTTCAACTTGCTATGAACTACAAGAGGCTTAGAAACGCAGGGATAGAACGAATTACAGATGTGAACAAAATGAGCATGGAAACAAATCAAAATTTTCAACTTGAAATGCTAGTTAGGAGGTGTGAATACAGATAGATTACAAGAGGCACAGATACAAAAATCACACAGGATTAGAATATAATTGTAAAGTTGTTATTCTAAACGGATTACAAGTGTGATCAGGAGGAACATGGAAACAATTCCACGTCCAGAAATGGAATCTTTGAATCGTTTTCTAATTCCATTGTGAATTTAATCGAAGGATGGGAATTATTAAATTCTTGTAAGATGCAGTTGAGGTCCAAGTTATCGTGGCAGACTATAAAGGTATCGTCAACGTACCTTTTGTACAGTAGTAATTTGTTTAATGTTGATTTTAAAACTCCACTCTCCAAACTGGCCATAAAGCAGTCTGCTAAAAGCGGGCCAAAAGGAGATCCCATTGCAATTCCATCTTTCTGTCTGTAGATGTCGCCGTTGAAGGTGAATTGTACATTCAGTGTGCATCTCAGCAACAATTCCTTCAGATATGATATTGGCACTCCGATGCTTATATTAGATTTCTCTATGTAATTACACAGAAAGCAAATTGTTTCTGTTAGTGGCACAGTGGCACGTTAGTAAAGAGAGATTCGACATCTAGTGATAACATTCGTTTATCATTTATCTTCAAATCTTTTATGCATTCAATGAACTCAAAAGTATCGCGAAGAGAGTATTTGCATAGGTGTTGTCTTACCGGCTCCAACATTTCGGGAAATCATTTGGCGATTGGATGGTATGGTGACATTGACATGTCTAGAATCGGTCGAAGTGGCAAGCCAGGTTTGTGCACCTTTGGTAAGCCGCAGAGTCAGGGAATGGTTGGTCCTGTCTGTTTGAGGCGATCGAACAGGTTCCCAGGTATCAGACGGTCGTTCTTCATTCTTCTAGGAACAATACTCTCTTCGCGATACTTTTGAGTTCATTGAATGCATAAAAGATATGAAGATAAATGATAAACGAATGTTATCACTAGATGTCGAATCTCTCTTTACTAACGTGCCACTGTGCCACTAACAGAAACAATTTGCTTTCTGTGTAATTACATAGAGAAATCTAATATAAGCATCGGAGTGCCAATATCATATCTGAAGGAATTGTTGCTGAGATGCACACTGAATGTACAATTCACCTTCAACGGCGACATCTACAGACAGAAAGATGGAATTGCAATGGGATCTCCTTTTGGCCCGCTTTTAGCAGACTGCTTTATGGCCAGTTTGGAGAGTGGAGTTTTAAAATCAACATTAAACAAATTACTACTGTACAAAAGGTACGTTGACGATACCTTTATAGTCTGCCACGATAACTTGGACCTCAACTGCATCTTACAAGAATTTAATAATTCCCATCCTTCGATTAAATTCACAATGGAATTAGAAAACGATTCAAAGATTCCATTTCTGGACGTGGAATTGACAAGAAGAGATGATGGAACCCTGAAGAGGTCCATCCACAGCAAACCAACATGGAACGGCCAACTAACGCATTTCTATAGTTGGATACCTTTGAGCCGAAAACGAGCTCTCATCAGCACACTAACTTATCGCATTAGAAAAATCTGCATCAGCAATTGCATGGAAGAGGAGCTCCTATTCCTCAAAAATATCCTGACTCAAAATGGCTACCCAACACGTTTTGTCGAAAAGAACATGAAACCTAAACCAAAAAGAGAAGAATGCGATTCAGCGCCAAAGAAAACGCTGTATCTAAATCCGAATTTCATGGGAGATTCGGCAGCTGATATCCTAAAGAGGAGAATATCCAGCTCTTTAAAGAACACCTTCCCTGCAGCAACACTAAGAGTGACATTCTCTAGTCATCCAATACTTCGAAACAACACGAAGGACAAACTTTCGCATATGACCAATTCAATGTGCATATACCAGTTAACTTGCTCGTGCGGAGCTAGGTACATAGGTCGTTGTATGCGCGTCCTTTCAAAACGTGTTAGAAAACATTACCCAGCGTGGCTGCAGACAGGAGGCACCGGTTCAATCAGAAGTGCCATTACTGAACATCTGGTCAACACCTCCCACAATATCTCAACTGATTCTTTCAAAGTGATTTAAAAAGTTAACAGAAACCTACCAAAAGCAGTATGTTTCCGACTTCTTTGTACTGCGGAAGTCCTCGCAATATGCATCGAGAAGCCGAAACTGTGTGTTCAAAAGAAATTAGTCCAACCTCTACAGCTACCATGGACCTAGTTTGGTATGTTCCCTTTGCTTCCATTTTTTTCTTCTTTGTCTTTTTTCGTCCTCTCTTTCCCTTTTTGAGCATTTTTTCGTTCGCCGTATGTCTGATCCTTATTCCCTCAGTCTTCATTAAATTCACCTAATTTTTTTTCAGGTATAAAACAGTCATTTTAAGTTTGTTTCCACGCTTTTCCTGTTCACATTTATAATTCGTTTAAAATAACTATTTTACAATTATGTCTTAATCCTGGGCAATTTTGTGTCTCTAAGGCTCTTGTAATTTATGTTCACACCTCATTTCAAACTCAAATTTTCAGTTATGAAACCAGTTATTTTAAGTTTGTTTCCATGTTCCTCCTGATCACACTTGTAATCCGTTTAGAATAACAACTTTACAATTATATTCTAATCCTGTGTGATTTTTGTATCTGTGCCTCTTGTAATCTATCTGTATTCACACCTCCTAACTAGCATTTCAAGTTGAAAATTTTGATTTGTTTCCATGCTCATTTTGTTCACATCTGTAATTCGTTCTATCCCTGCGTTTCTAAGCCTCTTGTAGTTCATAGCAAGTTGAAAACAATTATCACCTTTTATTCGCCTTTAAAACTATTATTTCTCCAATTATCAAATATTAATTTTTGCATACGTTGTAACTATTTTCTAATCCTATGAAATCTTGTCTCTAAGCCCCTTGTAATCTATATTCTTACCTTCAAACTTTCATATCAAGTTGAAAATTATTATCACCTTCGTTACTATGTGGAATTAAACAACTAATAATTGTGTCCATGTAAAATAATCTATATAAATGCGATTGTACAGCTGTTTTTGAGAATGTAATCGCCGGAAAAGTTTCCATCTTTGTTGAACTCTGTTTTTTTTCACTTGAGTGTTCCGATGAGTATTTCCCACGAACTGAAAATTTTATTTCTATCAATAATGCGTTGTATTGTTTTGATTCCCTGTTCTCTTGTATTTGTCTTTTTTGAAACTGTATTCCTTAGTGTAATTATTGTAGTTTTAACTTTCATCTTTTTATTCTTCTTAGTTGTTTTCGTTTCTTATGTAGGCTAACGGCACAGGTACTCTGAAAACACCAGTAAAAGATATTTACAGTAGTTCAGCAGTTGAAAGCGCGATTCCTTTGCATTGCGTGCAACTGATAAAAACAACTCAACTTTTCAATCACGCATAGTGTTTATTTATTCATTTTTTTTTATTTTTTTTTATTTTTGATTTACAGCTTGATTCCACACTGTATTTTCGGTACAAGTATGGAATTTTCAGAATGGATATCGGTAGCCTAAATTTTGCAGGCCGTCGGTGCGGACTCGAACCCCGGACCATGTGCATGGTCGGCGAGAGTCCTAACCACTGTGCCACCGACAACTCAACTTTTAAATCACGCATAGTGTTACCCTTGCCTACCTACACACTTCTCATATTTTTCACTTTTGATAAGCGTTGCACCCAAAAAAGAATCATTCGTTAATATTTATCGTCCATTGCAAGTAGTGACACATAAACACTTGTTATGTACTAGTTTTCTCGCACCTGAAGAACATAGTGTTGCCATATTGTCTCGTTAGCATTTAAGTAATGGTTTTACGTAACTCGCCACGAGTAAGTAGTAGATATCCGTCAACAGCTTATAAAACATGGTAAATAAGGGTGAAATTCGAATGCCTGATCCTCTGGCTAGAATTTAAATTTTAGATACCTCTTTCATTATTTTGGAGAAATATATAAGTTTTTTCCTAATTGATCTACTTATACAGCTTCGCCAGGCAGATTCTGATCTGAAAAGGAGCTCACGATTAGTTTCTGTAATGACTCGTCGGTAAGTCTAAATTCCTTTCAAAACTTATATTTTAAAAATTATTTTTCTTTCCACAGGGCAGTGACACTACTTCTACGCGTGCTTTTGTTGTCGCTGCCCTTCCTGTTGTGAATTTTTTCCTTGTTTTCCTGATTCTAAAAAAAGCAAGCCCAAAAAGTCGCTCCTCTGTAACTAACATACTCATGTAAAAACCCTCTTTTCCCGGCGTGAGGCTAGCAACCACACCCTGTAAACAAAGCCGCTACAGAAACCTCAGTACTAATGAGTATCCTTGCGACAAAAGAAAAAGTCTCTATGGGGACATGGAACGTCCTTAGTGTTCATGGGACTGGCAAAGCTGCCCAGATTGCAAATGAGATGAAAAGATATGTATTCAAGTAATTGGAATATGCGAAAGCAGATAGAATGGGATTGGACTCACAAAATTGTCAACGGGACAGTCAGTGATCTACTCCGGTCATCCAGAAGACAACCACATGCACACCAAGGCGTGGTTATCTCACTGTCACCAGTGGAAACGTAGGCCCTGATGCAATGGGGGGCGATCTCGCGCAGGATAATGACCGCCAAATTCAACTCCAAAGGAAGGAAAGTGACTGTTATACAATGCTATGCACCCACAAACAACGCAGCCCCCGAAAAGAAAGAAGAATTCTACAACTACAGGAAACAATGGACAATACTCCAGTTGGTGACATTAAAATACTAATGGGAGACATGAACGCCAAACTGGGACCAAACAACACAGGAAGGGAGCTTTTCATGGATAGAGAAGCTCTCGGAGGAATGAATGAAAATGGAGAACTCTTCTCAGACTTCTTAGCCTTCAATGAACTGGTGATTGGTGGCAGTGTATACAAGCACAAGGATATCCACTAGGCTTCATGGGTGTCACCAGACGGGCGAACGGAAACCAAATTGACTTCATTTCAATATCAAGGAAGTGGAGGCGCAGCTTACTGGAAACAAAAGTAAGAAGAGGAGCAGACGTTGGCTCAGACCACTATGTCGTACAAGGGACAATCCAAATCAAATTAAAAGCTTTCAGCGAAACAGGAGCTGCAGATAGACCACAAGCTAAGTTCAACATTCAAAAACTGAAGGACCAGGATACAAAGGACATCTTCACTGCAAGCATAAATGACAAAGCCGAGACACAAATCAACACTAGCGAAGAGGTCAGGGTTGAGAAGCACTGGAACTGCCTGAAATCGGTGTGGAGTCAAACCTGCGTGGAAGTTCCAGGCAGAAAGAAGAGATAGAACAAAGAGTCGCTCACCGCCGATACATGGAGACTAATAGAAGAGGGAAGAATAGTGAGACGAAATATTATCCAGTGCACCGACGAGCAACAGAAACAGGAGTTGAATGCAAGCTATAATACGCTGATCAAAAGAGTGAAGTAAAGTGTCAGGGAAGACGAAAAAATATTATGAAGCCACCGCAAGTGAGACAGAACAAGCTGCAGGCAAAGGAGACCTCGCCACACTCTACCAAACAACTAGGTTCCTGTCGGGAAAAAGTTCAACACAAATTAGGCAAGTGAAGGATGACAATGGAAAGCCAAAGAAATGGAGCAAAGGAAACACTGGGCTGAACACTTCAAAATACTTCTAAATCGACGGCCACCTACAACGCGCCCAATAATACTAGCAACGGAAGCAGAACTACCAGTGGACATCAGCTCTCCAACGAGAACAGAAGTCCTGAATGCAAACAAGATGCTGAAAGCTGGAAAAGCAGCAGGACCAGAGAGAATCCCAACAGAGGCATTGGAAATAGACCCAGATACATCAGTGGACTTGATCGCACCACTACTGGAGAAGGTGTGGAAAGAGAGCAAGGTACCTGAGGATTGGAAGAAAGTCTATTTATTCAAATTGCCAAAGAAAGGGGACTTAGGTCAATGCAAGAACTGGCCCGGTATAATGCTCCTGGCCATCCCAAACAAAATACTAGACCGCATCATCCTGGAGAGAGTCAAACACGCCACCCTGGGTGAAAAACTTCAATCGGAACAGGCTGGATTCAGGAGGAACAAGTCAAGTATCGATCAAGTCGCGACACTGCGGACCATTATTGAACAGAACTTGGAATGGCAGTCAGCTCTCTATTTCAACTTCATCGACTTTGAAAAGGCCTTCGACAGCGTCGATCGAGAAGTGATTTGGCAAATACTTCGCTACTACGGAGTGCCGCCATCAATTATCCACCTCATAGCCGAGCGATGCTGGGGACATCACTCGTACCAAATTCCCATGAAACTTCATGAACTCTCTTACAAATTGCCGCGCCTGGGCAGCGATGATTCGAGACGTTCATGAAGCCGGCTCATCCTCCCGTAGGAGATAGCCGAAGTAAAGTAAAGTAAGTATCCACCTCATACAACAGTTGTATGACAACGCCACGTGCCGAGCAATCCACAATAGGAAACTCACGGAATCCTTCGAAGTGAAGACGGGAATAAGACAGGCCTACTATGTTCAATGATTTTCCTTATTGCGATAGACTGGATAATGCGACAGACAGAGAGTGAACAGTGAGGAAAGAGGCATAAAATTGAATCACATAGAAAACTTGGAGGATTTGGACTTCGCCGATGATATATGTCTGATTTCCCACAAACTGAAAGATATGCAAATGAAAAGCAACAAGTTGGCAGAACAAGCATCCAGAGAAGATAGGACTTCCTTCGGGTGAACATAGAGAAAACAGAGGCGATGAAGATCCCTGGGCAACATCAACAGCAGCACCAACAACAGGCTACAATCAGCATAAATGGGAGAAGTTTGAGAGAAGCAGCCTCCTTTACCCATCCACCTACCTGGGAAGCATCAATTCAACTACAGGCGAACGGAACTGACGAAGATATCAAGGCGAGGATCGGGAAAGCAAGACAAGCTTTCATTACTCTCAAGCCTCTGTGGAGATGAACAGCACTCACCATGTAAAGTAAGATCCGAATTTTCAACTCCAATGTGAAGTCAGTGCTACTTACCATACGGATCAGAGACTTGGCGCGTCACCAAAGGTACTTCGAACAAACTATAGACCTTCATCAATAGCTGTCTTTCCTCAATGCTACTCAAGATCAGATGGCCAGAAAAGATTAGCAATATTGAGCGATATCTGGGAGCGAACCAACCCAGCAGGAAGCAACTATGCAACAAACATGCAGGAAGAAATGGAGGTGGATTGGCCATACTCTGAGCAAACAGACCACCAAGTGACATCACACGCCAGGCCATCGCTCTAGTGGGACCTGAATAAGAAGGACCAAGTTGGTCATCCGAGGGTGACATGGATGATGTCATGCGAACAGGAGATGAAAGCATGTGGGAAGACGTGAAGTCAGGTGAAAACGTTGGCGAAGAACTGAACGCAGTGGAGGCGTGCGGCTGAAGCCCTATGTTCCTCTGAGAACTATAGGAAACAACCTGGGGTTCTGGTGGGAAGCCGTGGTCAGTAGGGTACAGCAGGTTGAAGATGAGGCAGTAACTCATCGAAGAAGACATTGCGGAATGGTCGCGAATTGGCAGAATTTAGAATTCAAGGACCATTGGACTGGGTCCCGGTGGCTTAATGGTCTATGAACTCGCCTTGTAACCAGAAGGTCCTGGGTTCGAACCCCGGTAGGTGCCTACTACCGAAGAGTCCCAAACTAGGACGAAACAGCTGTCCAGTACTCCCAGGTTTTCCATTGGTTCTCTAACTGATGTCCTCCATGTGATCAAACAAAATCCCTACAAAACCAATACTTGAAAATAATATAATAATAGGTAAAATACTTTTATCAGGAACCTTGTTAATTTCTGACTGAGATCTAACCTCATAACAAAACCTGAATGGGCTCTGTCTGTCTATATTCTTGATTTTTAATTTCGTTTGTTAGATTTCGTCACAAACCACCATCAATTAGAGAGATAATTAGAAATCAGGGAGCATTGGACATTTATTTCGTTCTATTTTTGGAATTCCGCATTCCTACACACCCACGACATCTCTAGGGATCGAAGCCGACACCTCCAAGTTACGGTTGATTTAGAAGACTGCTGAAAACAGGATAAATTGGAGATGTTCTGTCTAAGCCCTGTGTTCCACTTGGAACACAAAGTAGTAATAGTCACATAATTCTTGTTCTAAACTCTAAACATGTCATTTGTGATTTCTTCCATTTGTCTGAATCGATCGGAATGTGCTTACAGTAGAACTTGACAGAACAGAAATGTGTCATAAAATAAGACACTTAGTTTTCAATGTATAAGCATAGATTAGTTTCATTGTGACAGTCATAATAACCTTATCGTGAAGCATTAGGTTATTGTAACATGACATAATTGTAGAAATCAGTCCTCAGCAAATGGGATACTCAGCTTTCACCTAATTAGTTTTATTTATGCCCTCAACAAATTTTCAAGGCAACTTTTTACAGCTCGTGTGTGATAACTAACTGACTGATTTCAATATAGAACTTTTCACAGATGTGCAGCAGTTCGAGTCGCCGCACTTCATGTAGCATACAAAGCAAGAGAAAAGAGGAGTTCAAAGGACAGATAATAAACAGAAGTCTAAAGAAAAAGAATAGCTATATGGGAAAATTAAATTTTTATTCAATGTGATAAATTACAAATAGTGAGTGCATTGAGAACGATTTTGAGCCATATCACCGATTGTCTCCAGTTCCCATCGGTTCTTACCATCCTGAAAACCCCAACTAGTCAGGAAGTCTACACCTCTAGTGTGGCTCGAAACTAACTGTTAAGGATTTCATTGACTGATGCCATGTTTTGGCTTGACCACCAACCTGATTTTATGTCAGTTAACATTGCCCATTGTTGAGAAAGGTGATGACTAGGCATGTGTAACACATTTCCTAACCATCCCAATCGGTGTTACTTCACAGCCTCTTCCATTGATTTCTCCTCCTTACCTACCACTCAACGGAAGCCTAACCTCAATATTACTTACCTTATTTTACCACTTCACACTGGAGATAGAACGCAGGCACCTACGATCAAGGACAACTAGCCAGGCTTTAAGTGTCTTCAACTTTCAATGGCCATATCTCACAGCCATAAAGGAGGACAGAGCAAACTACTGTGCACTTCATACGTCCTTCGTTTGACAGTCGGGCATCACGTCTACGCTAGAGATGACGTAAGTTGGCTGAAAAACGCCAAACGAGCCTTCTCTATCCGTGCTGTGTAATAACACATATGTGCAATGGCCATGTACTTGAATAAAGAGTTTATCGAGTGTGCGTTAACTTAAGTTATCAAAGTTTATTTGCTTTTTATCTCGATTTCTTTTGATCACATTTCTACTTATTCCTATTTGTAGAGTCCTTCAGAACAAAGTCCTACTAATCGCTGTGATATCTCTAATGGTGTTAATCTTTTTCGTAGCCATATATCTGGTAACTCGCCATGCTACTACACCAGTCGCAGTAAATTCATCTCACCCGTGATATACATGCATACATATATATTATCATCTTTCTTGTTGGTGTCCATGGGGTTCGTCTCCTTACTGAGGTGAATACGACGATCGTCTTATATCCGCAACTACTGCATTGTTTATTGTGATAATATCTCCTGTGTTTTATCATGCGTTGCTTTCTCTTTTATAATATTGACTAATATTTTGTCTTACTTTTGAAACAAATGTATGTGATTTGAATTTCAAGCGTAAACAGAAGTTCAATTCTTTATACATCACTTTTTCATTTTCATTTCTTCTACACTTTATTTGTTGGTATTTCTTTCCTTTTTTTGTGACTAACATAAATGATTAAATATATTTTGTTTCTGCAGAAGAATACAAGGTTACTCATCAGTTGTTTATATTCATACATTTTAGTACATAAATATGCTTATTACTTCTATGAATTTCAAAGAATTTTCGTTTTTAAGTCTCTAGGATCCACAATACTGATATCTTCAATGCGTATATCTTTCACTGGACGTTCGTATTGTGTTGGTGTTTCTTCCATTTTGTCCAATGTTGAACTGCCTTCAATCACCCTTCTGAAAGCGTGAAAAATACAATATTTGTTAGTCGATTTAAAATTTGAGCATTTGTTTATTAGAGATAAAAATAATGTCTACATATCCGTTTTCTAATATATTCACAATGTAACATTGAGCTGGTAGTAGTGTAAAGGAAATCTGACAAGCTTTTCTACAAATCAAGTTGAGTTAATACCTTATAAACAAACCATTCCCTATATTATACTCTTATTTTAATATGATGCGTACTGTCATACACCAGTGAGCGGGTTATCATTTTGATGAGTATTACCAACAGTCTCAAGTTGCAAGTCATTAGTTCTTATCATTCTGGAGGACTGCAATCACGCAGTCTACAATTCTTTAACGTGGGTGACATCACGCACGCGTCAAGCCATTGCTCGAGTGGAACCAGGCCGAAAGGGAAGCGGCGAGTGGGACGTCAGTGCAAGGGTGACATGGAGGAGATCGTGTGAAGATGAGTTGAAAGAGTATGGACTAACATGGATACAGGTGAAAAGTACGGCAGAAGCAAGTGGAGACGTGCAGTTGAAGCCCTATGTTCCACTAAGAACCCAAGGGAACAATAATAATACACCTAGCTGTTTTCTAATTCAATTCTATGTCAGTTCAAATTGCTCGATGAGAAAGGTAATGACTCATATCTTAGCCATCTAAACGGATATGGCTTTACGGACTCATCGATTGACTTGCCGTCCCGTACCTAAGACTCTACTTTTCACAGTGTTACTCACCATATTATACCACTTTACATGGGGGAAAGAACGCAAATCCCTTTGGTCACAGACAGCTAAGACATTTCATATCTTCCAATTTCAATGACTATATCTCACAGCCATATAGGAGAACGGAGTGAACTGCCTTGCAGTATACACGTCTTTTGATGGATAGTTGGAGGTCAAAATTGCGCCGAAGGTGACGTAAGTTGGCGAATGTCAGACTAGCTCTTTGTATCCATGGTGAAGTTTTGTTAGTGACCAGTCCACTAGGGCTGATGCAACTCTCCAAATAAGTGAAGTCAACATGCTCAGGTCTTTAACTCCCTATTTCTAGGGCAGGGGTCGGTGCAGATCAATCATGCTGTAATATCCTATATGTCGAACACAAAGATTTCTGCTCGAGGCGTTCAGAAGACTGCATTTTGTTAGCTTAATCTAAGTCGGCAAGACTGTTCCTTGGTAGTAAGTCAATCCCTAATTCACTACAGTCGATTGGGATCACATTCACTAGTGTGTTCACACCAACGGTGTAGTACATGTTGTGAAGTCATTCAAGAGATTATTAGTCAACTCCTATTTAGGCATATTATTCTAATGTATTTGAATAATCTAGCAACATATCGCTTACTATCAGTCGTACATGTATTATAAAATCAAACATAAATGGGGACAACGAACATCTCTGACATTCTTCACTGTTGACGTCATTTTAGATGGCAACTTTCCATGAGCATACACATTGCTGGAGTATAGTGCCTTGTCCAGCGTGATATGCTTCTCGGTAGTGCACAGACGATAAAACATTGCCACATCTCTCGGCCTCTAAGTCAAGCAGTGTTGTAGGTGCTTGACACCGGTAAGTATACCTATCTTCTAGGATCTGTGGAAGCATGAATGCACTTTACCTGACCTAAGACGACCTGCATTTCTTTCCCGGGTTTGTTTATATCGAGTACCGCCCAGTCTACTCATGATTGTCGAACTAGTAACTTTAGATATTATGACAGGTTAGCTTATCGCCGTATACTTACCACAGGAAGACTTGTCTCTCTTATTTTAGGCTGGAATAATGAATGACTTGCACTACTCCGTGGAACTCTCTATGATTTCCATACGTTATCTAAAGTCTCAATTAACCCAGACAATGTTTCATCACCATCCTGCTTAAATATCTCTTAATTTATTCCATCTGATTCTAACGCTTATTTAATCATACACTTAACGTGTGTATATTTCACTATGTAACCCTTTTTAGCCTTAAGAATTCAATGCACCTAGTTGGTGCATAGGATTATTATCGCTGCATGGATAAGTCTATAGGTTAAAAAAAAGCCAGGGACTGTTAAATTCTGTTGATGCAATTTCACATCTTTACTTGTCCGACAGGTAGAAGGATATATTAACAGTACGTTGATGGAGATGTCCTAGTTACATGATGTTTTAGAATTAATAATACATGCAAATATTAATTATACCTGAAAACTTTTGTAGATCATCTTATTGTCAGTAATAATAGGTTTGTGTAATTTTTGTGCTGGAAGTATTCGCTAATGAATTAACATGTATTTCAGTAAATATTTCATTCAGAGATGACATTGTCTGTATTACGCAAAATGTGTTACCAGTGTTTGATATTGTGACAAACGCAAACAAACTAAGCACTTTACTCGAATTTAAGGTAAGCTGCTGTCTGAATTGGTTATAACCAAGTAGTATTCATTAGGAATTCCCATTTTTACTGGATTTTATCATAGACGAACAGATGGGGAATATCTCTATTTGAGTTGATCAGTTTTAGATCAACTCTTAGTATACGGATGAAATCATCTTTTGAATGAAGGCGTTGACAACATGGTTTTTTTGTACAATTCAGGCACAAATGTTTGAAAAGTGTTTCAACAATTTCTTATATATGAGGTGATGCTGATAATCTGGCCTCGAAACACTCCTAGTTTATCAACAGGGATTTGAATGATGAAACGCGTTGACCGCTTAATTCATTCAGGAAATTATATCAGCCTTAATGTATTCGTCGCTGGCCGAAGTTTAGTACCATGAAGTAGTCGACTGTTGTTAATTTCAGATGTGTAGATTGTCTCAGTAAAGTCTTCGAGGTATGTAAAGTTAGTGTTTGAAGACTTAAGGTGAAGTGATTCAAAAGGCTTTACATTAATTTTGTTCGGAAGTATTTCGTCTTTTTAAATATTTTTAAAATTGTGAAAACCTTCACTAGCGTTTGTTAAAATCTGTCTTTGATACATGCTTGTGCACTTTAGTATCACTATGTTTCCGTTCTTTTCTGTGGGTATTTTCAAGTAAGGCAATTCGAGTACACTCATTTTTATGTGTAGTCCTAATTTGTCTGTCGGTAAGTAATAGTGTTACTCAGGATTCGCATTATATCATTCGGATTTGATAGATCGCTGCTGGGTGATGTTAACAATCAAAGTTATGTATGTAATCCACATCCCCTTTAATTATTGTTTCTATGAATTTGCTTTGTTCCAAGTTCGATCATGGATTGATGTCAGTTTAAGAATCACTGAAAACCAGGCAATACTAAACAGTAATTTCGTCCTGGTTTGGGACGGTATTTTTAAACCCATGCCCTAATGCTTACAAATCAAGCTCGTAGATCATTAAGCCACCGGGATTCCAACTCAGTGGCCCATGAATTATAACTCCTACTACCGGTGTCATCCCTTGGTGAGTATTTGTCCTCACTGCCGACCACCAGGCGGACCCCACTGGTCACGATTTCTCACTAGGACTCCAGGGACCTTTGCCCTGCAGCCAGTCACTAGCAAACATCAGAACGATTTCCGTGAGTTTGTTTACAGGGATTTGATTTGTTTTAAGTTGATCACAGACCACTATCAGTTATAGAAAACCAGCACTGGAGTAGTGGACAGCTGTTTCGACTTAGTTTGGGATTCATCGTCAGTAAAGAGAGAGGGTTGGGTGTGGGGCTAGCAACCCCACACCAGGACCAGACGTAATTCCCCCAGACCAAAGCACTGAAAACGGACCCAGAGACTGCGGCAGATGTGCTTACGCCATTAGTGCAAAAGGTTTGGCAAGAAAGGTGCCTACCGATTGGAAGAAAGACCGGCTATCTTGTCAAGCTACCAAAGAAGGGCTACTTACGCCTGTGCAAGGACTGGCACCGAATCATGCTCTTATCCACACCAAGTAAAATACTGAGTTACATCATCCTGGAGAGAATAAAGGATGCGGGTCAGCCGGAAGAAGCTGGATTCAAGAAAGGCAAATCATGTGCTGACCAAATTGCAACTCTAAGCATTATCATTACAGAACAAAGCATAGAATGAAAGTCAAACCTGTCTCTAACTCAACTTCATTGTCTTCGAAAAGGCCTTCAAGAAGCAATTTGGAAACTACTTCAATACTACGGCATGCAGTGCCCAAGTCTGTATCAACCTCATTCAACAGCTGGCTATATGACAATGCCTCATGTCAAGTAATTCACAACGGAAAACTCGGCGATGCGTTCAAAGTATATATAGGAATAAGACAAGCTGGTCGCCTACTACCACTGATGATATTCTTAATTGTGGTGGTCTGGATTATGCGTCAGACTGGTGGGGGTAAGGTGTCAGGAATACGCTGGACAACCGATAAGAAGACTCTAGAAGATCTGGATTTCGCAGATGATGTATGTCTTATGTCACGCAAACTCGAAGACTTGCAAGCGAAAACCAACAAATTGGCAGAAGGGGCAGGCAGCGAAAACATTACTGCAGGTGAACAGAGAAGACGAAGGTGAGGAAGGTAACCAATCAACAGCAACAACAACCAGCAGCAATCACCATCAACGGGATAGCTTTAACAGAGGTGTAGCCTTCTTCATTTATCTGGAAAGCATCGCTTCAACTACAGGCTGGCGGAACGGATGGAGATATCAAAGTCAGAATCGGAAAGGCATAATACACTCTCCTCAATGTGAAACCAGTTTGAGAATCTTCTGGACTGCACTTGGCATAAGGAACAATATTCACATTTTAAAACCGACCGATGTCAAATTGGTCCTTCTATTCGGGTCAGAAACTTGGCCAGTGTGTCGTGAAAAGAATTTCCAACAGCTTGTTGCAGACTTTTTTCAACAGCTACTTACGCTGTGTCCATACTGAAAATGAAATGGAGTGCAAGAAAGAATAGGCAACAAGAAACTCTGGCTAGGAACAAACCAACCAAGAGCCGATCGCTCAACAGATATATAGAAGAAAGTGGAGATGGATCGGGCATACGTTGAGGAAGTCGTCGAATGACATCCCACGTCAGGCCCTCAACTGGAATCCTAATGGGAAACGACGAGTTGGTCGTCCTAGGGTGACATGGAGGAGATCATGAGAAGAAGAGATGAGAGTTTGGTCAATTGTAGACTCAACTAAAGAGGACGGTAGAAAACGGAACAAAGTAGAGACGCGTTTTTGAAGCCCTATGCTCCACTCGGAAAGCAAAGGAATAATCATAATAATAAACACCCACTGGGTTTCATTTACATTGAAAACTGTTCTTATTATCTTACCAAGCAGTTTGTAACAGCACATTAAATGACTGGTAAAGTTAATCAGAAGTAATTGCTGCAATACATTTAAGTAATTATATGTGACCCAGTATACTGTAAAATATAATAGGCATCTAGGGTTACGATGAACTCAAAAATTGTTTGGTATTTCTAAGAATCAAGGTTAAATGATGCTACCGAAAAGTGTTTGGTTTGGAGGAAGTGGGGCGGGGGGCGAAATTGTGACTCAATAAATTCAGCACAAATTTGTTTGTGCAATATACACTGATATGTACTGAGTTTTAAGACAGTAAAACACTCAAGAGTATTTATTCGACAGAAAGCTAAAATTTTTCCTCCAGCATGTAACTATGTGATCGCAAAATTAAATAAATCAATAATATTTAATACATTTGTATCAAAAATGCTGTTTGGAACAGAGCTATTATCACATTACTAAAAATCAACACTGACGACAGTAGTGTGGCCTTTTCTTCAATAGAATGTGTTAAAGTATATCCACCTTAAAAATATTATATCTTAATTTTAAAGAGTACTAAGTAGTATGACCGTCTTATGATTAAGAAGATGCTTCCCTACTATTCCTCACAAAACGCAAAGATAACTGAAGTGAAATTAATTTAAAAGGATACTATCGTTACCCATGAAGTTAGAGTTGCTCTGACTGATCGTAAATTGACTAACTTTTTGTTTTGGACACTAAGAAAGATGGTTTGAAATTTTAAGCGGCCTATATTAGAATTAACAGCAAATATATTTTCAACTATTGATTTTGCAGGGATTTCATCATGATGTCAGCTCATGATGAAGTCCTCCATCCAAGCAAATATATTCTTAATTTACGCATATATTAACTGTGACATTTTTCGCCTTAAGCTATTTTTTGAGTTTACTACCACCACACTGCCTCTATTTTTTTGTTTTCTGTCTAAGCTCTGTAATGCGGTAGACGGGAATGCTATACAATAATGCGAAGTACTGTGATTATAATGTTTGTTCGCCAATCACTTATAAAATAGGATGCGGCAAAGTTGTCTGTGAATTCGATATAACATGCAGCGTTCAGTAGTCAACATTAAGAAAATGATGATATCAGCGTCAGTCCAGAAAGAATATTTGAAGGAGAAGTAATGAAAATAAACGAGATTACCGAACTCTCAAGGCAGGAAAGGCATAGACTTCTCTAGTTTGTTAATGACTTTTCGAGCACACCTAATTACTCATAATCATATCATAAATTTTATCCGCAATGGAATTATACACTACCACACTGCAAAAGTTCTATTCTTATGTCAGTAGACTGGCCTACTTTATCTCGTCACCAACCACTATTCTTAATTGTTGACAAATCTTAAGCCATCAGCCTACTGTTCGGCTCATTGGTCAGATTAGTAGTCATGGTCGTATTGTGTATTATTTTACACACTATTGATTGTGTAACAGCTTGCTGCGAGCCTGTACAAATTTATGGATCTTGAATTCCGCAATTATTATCACCCTCCATATACCTCAAGGATTCCTGTTGACTAAAAGTCTGTTGCAAACTTCTACTAATTAACTTTTGAATTTTGTAATGAGTTATTTACAACCCTTTCTAGACCGTAAAACTGATAATTCTTATCGACTTACATGAACGTATGATTGGACCAGTTTTGATGCAAAACAATATATATATATGTTAATGAGGTGCCATTGTTAAGGAACTAGCTAAAAATAATATATTTCTCCTCCCACTTAGCTGTAAGTGGCAATTCTTAAATTGTGCATTCCATCAAGCAGTTGTTAAAAATACAGTAGAAAATGAATAAATGGGGTAAAAGTAAATTAATGGCACTAAGATTAAGTCACCTACTAAATGATCTTAGTGATTATAACCATGTAACGGGGGACTGCCATAATAGGGTTTTTATGTGTTCTATACTTACCCGAATCCCACGTAAAGATTGTCCATCCACTTTGCCGGTGACAGTGTTATAAAAAACTGTGAACTGTTTGTGTGGCGTCCAGAGTTAGCCATACTGAGAATACCACGTCGATCGTGCTTAATGATATAATTTTCATCTTGAAATAAGTCGAAAACATATATTACATTCCTGTTACATGTTTACATATGGTTAGTTAAAGAACAATGTTTATTTTAGACGGCGGAAACTCAAAGAAAGCTGTCTCTTTCTTTTACATCGGCAGCACCGTTTCACCTAAAGGCGACACAGATGAGTATGTTGAAGGTAACCAGTATCGGAGAAAGAAGACAAGGGTTCATAACTTTGAAATCGGCGTGGAGATCCACACCAAGTATCACAAAGAATAAGATCAGAATTTACAACACTAAATTCAAGACACTGCTTCTCCTTCGTCGAGAGATTTGGTGTGTGCATTACCAAAGTCGTTTCCATCAGGCCCCAGACTTTCTTTAGTGGCTTCCTCTGTTCAGTACAAAAGATCGGATGGCCAGAAGGGATCAAAAAGCAAAACGTAACTCTAAACCTATTGTTTGACAAATACAAGGAAGCAAATGCAGATAAATTCAAGTGAATATACAAGCCAAACCCTCGAATGAAACTCAAAGAGGAAGAGACGGCTTGAGTGTCCATGGATGCCACGGATGAGATCACGAGAACAGGAAACAAAAGCCTGTGGACGGTTGTGAAGTCGTGTGAGAATGCGGAGAAGTACAACGATGTGAATAGGTCGCAGGAAAAGAATAATACTAACAGTAATGATCTCTTTAACTGTTGCATGAATCGGTGAGGTTTACTACAAATTTAACGAATTGTTTAAGTAAAACGCATGGACATAATTATTATTTAAATGTATTTTAAGAGTGTTATGAAGACATAACTCTTCTCTTTAAAGGTTAATTGGAGTTACAGTTCACCTAATAAGTTGAAACCAGTAGGAGGAGAAATTTTCGGGACTATTATTATTTTTCCCTTGGGTTCTTAGTGGAACATAGGGCTTCAACTGCACGTCTCCACTTGCTTCTGTCTTCCTTCTGCCGTACTTTTCACCTGTATCCATGTTAGTCCATACTCTTTCAACTCATCTTCACACGATCTCCTCCATGTCACCCTTGCACTGACGTCCCACTCGCCGCTTCCCGTTTGGCCTGGTTCCGCTCGAGCAATGGCCTGATGCGCGCACTATGTCACCCAGCGGCCTCCTCAGCGAGTGCCCAATCCATCTCCACCTTCTCCTGTATATTTTTTGGGCGATTGGTTCTTGTTTTGTTTGTTCCCATAGTTTTTTGTTGGTAATTCCTTCCGACCCAGCCACCTGATCTTCAGTATAGATCCAGCAAAGACAGTTGTTGATAAAGGTCTGCAATAGCCTGTTAGAAATATTCTTTGTGACCTACCCACCAAGTTTCTCATCCGTATAGAAGAACTGACTGACTTTACGTCTGTATTGAAGATCCGAGTGAGTGACGAAGATTTCCAGATTGGTTTCAGGTTGATGAATGTGTTCCTCGCCTTCCCGATTGTCGCTCGATTTGAAATCCTCGTCCGTTCCGACTGGCTGTAGTTGAGACAATTCTCCCTCCCTAGATAAGTGAATTAAGTAACCTCTTTCAAATCCCTCCCGTTGATGGTGATTGACGTTGGATGCTGTTGCTGTCGTTGGTTGGTTATTTTCATAACCTCCGTTTTGTCGATGTTCACTTGAAGTCCTGTCTTCGCTGACAGCTTCTTCGACCAGTTTGTCGGTTTTCGCTTGTAAGTTTTCGATTGTGTGTGACATCAAACATAAATCATCCACGCGCGAAATCCAGGTCTTCTAGGTTCTTCACGTCGGTTCAGGATACCCCTGTCTTCTCGTTTCCCACTCACTGACTGACGCATAATCCAGTCAGTCCACCACAATTAGGAATATCATTCATTGGTGATAATAAGCACCCTTGTCTGACTCCTGTGTTTACTCCAAATGCCTTGCTGAGCTTTCCGTTGTGGATCACTTGACATGTTGCGTTGTCGTACAGCTGTTGAATAAGGTTGATGAATATTTGGGCACTGCACGCCGTAGTACTCGAGTAGTTTCCAAATTACTTCGCGGTCAACGCTGTCTGTCGAAGGCCTTCTCAACGTCTATAAAGTTGAGGTAGAGGTTTGATTGCCATTGCATGCCTCGTTCTGTGATGATGATGCGTAGAGTTGCGATTTGGTCATAACATGATTTGCCTTCTCATTCTTGAAACAGAAATGAAAATAGTTCGCCATCACATAGTTGAAATAGTATGCAAGTGTTAACGTGATGAAAATACTTCCTTGTGGAAAAAATCAAATTGTAATGGTTAAAAGTGTCTTACTTATTTATCTTAGATTAAACTGTGCGTTTAACTATTCATGCATGATCACTGCAGATACATATACACTTTATTTAACAGGTTTGCTGACGCATTTAACCCTTGTTATTTCTTTCCTCCCACATGTACACTTTCAGTCTTAATTACGCAATATGTTAGGTGAACACTAAGTATTCACACTGTGTGTCGGTGGCATAGCGGTTAGGACGCTCGCCGACCATGCACGTGCTCTGGGGTTCGATCCCCGGCCGAAGCACTCCTTTATCTCATTAAGCCAGAAAAATGCTAGTGAGGAGGAAAGGTTGGACATGAGGCTAGCAACCCCATCCTGTAAAATTAAACACTTCTACAGAAACTTCAAACCACTAGCTTGAGGCCCTATATTCCACTGGGAAAGTGAAGGAAATAAAAAAGTATTCACATGGTGAAATGCTGGTGTGCACAAATGCCTATGATAAGCTGAGCAAATAAACCACTTCATGAAGTGTCTAGTCAACTCTGAATTCTTTCAACAACTGAGCCATAACAAGTTGACAAAATGGTGAAGACTTGAACGCTGTATATATATATATATATATATATATAATTACTAAACACGATAAAAAAAAACCGTTCCAAACGTGGAAAAAAGTTCAAAAAAGTCACATTCGATTAACACCATAGGGTCATTTAAAATTATTTCATAAACATTATATTAAATGAAAATAAGGTACCTTCAAACACTGGACCATATATTGAGTGTCCGTCATTTCCTCTGTTGTAAAGTGTGTCTAGGAAGAATGAAATATTCTTATTGTTTTACCTCCCCCTTGAATCCATCCGTTTTTTACAAGTCTGAAAAATTTCGTTCCTTTGTAATGCATTTTATATTTTTCTACCTCATTCTTTCTAGCCATTCCGTATTCACCAGTACATAATGCTCTGAAGTTCTCACAAGTTTTTGGTAAAAGATCCGAATATAACTGATTCATTTACATTTCATCTATTAGTCTTACTTCGAAAAGAAGAGTACCACATCTTTCTCCATCAATAGATATCAACATAGACACAAAAATTCTCTACAAGTTAATTGAATGAATAAATACCCTAATTTTGTCTATACATTGAGGTCAAATAGTATCTTTTGATATGCATCTGATGCTAATGTACTATATAAAGCCATTGGGCGGTAATCAAGGTACCCAAATTCTTTCTCTGCCCAATTATATAGTTCTATATCTGAACCATGTGCAACTCCATCTATGAAGACTAAAACATCTTGAGCATAGTTCCAATATGAGCCCGCAAGTTCCTACACTAAGTAACCATAGACTGCAATATACCTTTTTCTTTTCTTTCATGAACTCTGCCCACTCGAATTCGAACATTTCATGTATTTTGGGCTTTTCAAATGCATCCGGATGTGCATCATACAAATCCTTAAAAGATTATTCAAATACGATAAACTTACAAGTGAAAAAGTTCTTGCTTTTTGAAAACTTTCTTTCTGAACCAAACCATAAACGTCTATAATCATGTTTATTTTTAAAAGTAATCTTGTAACGCTTGTCCATAGTTGCGACGATACTGGTGTAGAAAAACAAACGTCAAGATATTTTCAATAGTAGAAATTCAAGACATTTTCGATTGTGATGGTTTGCGGAAAAACTGCATATCAAGTCGAAATACCTCCATTAATCCTCACAATATTCTGTAGTCTTGAGGACCACTCGTCCTTCACGAATGTTTTACAAGGTACCAAAACTGAAAACTGTAGCTAAATATTTCAGTGTAACATTATTCGTCATCTGAGATGGATCTTAACACAAAGACTCTTACGACATCTTCGTTGTTATATTGATATTTTGAAGTGTTCGTCTTCATTATGGGAAATGCAGTATACAATATACTTTCTATGAACTGTAAACTGTATTAATTTTTTCCGATTCACTTCTGCTGTTACCCGACTACTATAGCTTTGGTTTATTTCATGATGTGCATCTCAGGGATTGGTTGCATTTGGTTTTCATTTGCTGCTGCATGATATTCCACGGGAAACTAAAAACAACAGCTGCTGCTGAATGTTTCGAGATTGTCCAGACTCCAACATTGGTATAACATACTTCAAGGTGCAGTTGAACATATGTTCTGTTCAGTCCTAGGAATAGCCTAGAATTGAGAACGCCCAGCTGTCTGTGAGCTGGTTTGACTTCTACTTTATTTAGTCGTTCTATCGTGATGACTAGCATTTCTGTTCAGAACTTTGAATGGGCCATCGTAAGTGGGTTGAAGTGATCGTTGTACAATCTCTCTCCTGACGAAGACCTGCATGCAATCTGTCGGTTGTGACGGGATGTATGACGCTGTTTCCTGCTGGTGTGGGAGTGACATCTTGAGCTCGTTCATTTGCTGTTTTAGCTGGTCATGTAACCAGTCATATCATGTGGAACTTGGTTACCCGGGATGAAAAATTCTCCTGATAATTGAAATGCTGTTCCATAGACTAGTTCGGAAACAGAGCAGCCAATATCTTTCTTTGTAGCAGCTCGTATGCCAAGTAAAACCAGTGGAAGTTTGGTTGACCATTTGTTTTGTGTCAAAGAAGCGGCGAGCGCAGCTTTGAGTTTTCGATGAAATCGTTCAATCATAACGTTGGGACTAGGATGATACGCTGATTTTCGAACTCGTTAAATGTCTAGTAATTCAGTTAGCTGGTCAAAATGTTGGCTTCCAAACTGGGCACCTCTGTCTATAGTGATAATTGATGGGATACCAAAGTTAACTATCCAGTTTTTGACCAAAGCTTTAGCTACCGTTTCAGCAGAGACGTCGATTAATGGAACTGCTACTGGCCAATGAATAAATCTGTCAATGCAAGTAGGAATATAGTTGGAACCATTGGAAGGAGGCAGTGGACCAACTAAGTCTACATGTATATGGTCAGGTCTAGAGTCAGCGTTAAGGAAGAGATCAAGGCGTGCATCGCGTGCCGGTTGATTTTGACTCTTTGACAGGACAAGCGATTTCGTGTCCACTTCTTAACGTCTCTGTTAATGTTTGGCCGGATATATCTTTCTCTTAGTAGCTTGGTAGTAGCGCTTACACCAGGATGCGACAAGTTATGTAACTTCTCGAATACTGTATGTCTCATATCTGTTGGAACGAAGGGTCGATATTTACCGCAGAAGTGTCGCAGATTACTTTTGTCGTGCCAAAAGGAATTGCCTCGAGGCTTAGAGATGTTTTCTTAGAAGACATGATCTTTTTTAGTTCGGAATTATCTCGTTATAAGTTTCATAGATGCTCATATTCGATATCTGTGCATACAATGTCAATATGCGGACGTGATAAGGCGTCTGCCACTTCTTTGTTTTTACCCTTTATATGTCGCAGATCGGAGGTGAACTGGGATATAAACTCGAGATGTCGTAGTTCACGCGGAGAGTAGTTATCCTGTTTTGCTGATAAGGCTTTCGTTAGAGCTTTGTGGTCTGTAAAGACAGTAAAAGGTGTATCTTCCAGTATATGTCGAAAATGCTTGATTGCTAAATAAACAGCTAATAATTCTCTACCAAAGGTGCCATAGCGACATTGAGTAGGATTCAGTAGTTTAGAAAAGAATGCAAGGGGTTGTCATTCGCGGTATACCTGCTGTTGTAAAACTGCCCTAATGGCAACATCTGTAGCCTTGGTCATGAGAGACAAAGAGGCGTCATTTTGGCGTCTGACTAAGGGTGTCTTGTCATTGAACGATTTTTTAACAGTTTCGAATGCTTTAACAGCTTCTGCGGGCAAATGGAATGATCGACTATGTCCACATAAGCAGTCGGTTAACGGTTCCGAAACTCTAGCACAGTTCGGGATAAATCACCGGTAGAAATTGACGACACCCAAAAACTGCTGTAATTTCTTAAACGAATCTGGTAATGGATAGTCTTTGATAGCCTGTACATCATCGAGGACTGGTCTGATTCCTTGGTTGTCAATCAAGTGACCAAGGAATTTCAGTGATTTCTTACCAAATTCACATTTGTCTAAATTGATAGTCATGCCGTATTGGTGAAGTCTTTCAAACACCATCTTCACATGTTTCACATGCCCGGTTTCGTCGGCACTTGCAGTGAGTAAGTCGTCAATGCATGCGTAGACGAAAGGCAGGCCGCGGAGTACTTGTTCGACGAGGCGTTGAAATGTCTGAGCGATGTTCATCAGCCCGAAGGGCATGCGTACGAATTCGTATAAGCCGAATGGCGCGGTGATAGCAGTTTTTTGAACGTCATCCGGATGGGTGGAAATGTGACGGTACGCCCTGACAAAGTCGATTTTGGAGGAAATTTTAACCTCTGGCAAGTTGCCGGCGAAATCGTGAATATGTGACATGGGGTATCGATCAGGTACCGTTTGCTTGTTTAAGGCTCGATAATCCCCACACGGCCGTATCTCACCACAAGACTTTCTGGGTACCATGTGCCGCTATGAAGACCAAGAGCTGTTGGATGGTCGAATAATGCCGAGCTCTAACACTTTATCGAACTCAGTTTTCGCGACTTTAAGTCGATGTGGGTCAAGGCATCGAGGACGTGCAAAAACTGGTGGTCCATTGGTTTTAATGTGATGAATCACGTGATGCTTTTAGTTCTGTTGCTCGGAAATGGGGTTGTAGAAGGTCAGGGAAATGATTTACCAAGTCACTATGAGTTGCTGGTGTGCGTGCGACCGTCAAGTTTAACCATGATGCACAGCTAATCGTACAAGTGATGTAAGCTTTATTGAGTGAGTCTATTAGCTTAAGGGGTTATTGGATGAACTAGCAGTTTGTGTTGCTGTAGAAAATCGATACCGATGATTGTGGATGGAATGTCTGCAGTGATGAAAGACCAAGTGTAGGCATTCTGCAGACCAAAGTCCAAAGTCATTCGTTTGCTTCCATGTATAGCAATATTGGGCTTATTAACGGCTTAGAGCGTAACTGCTGGGTCAGGATGTTGATGTTCCTGCGTAGACGGAGGGAGAACACTAACTTCTGCTCCTGTGTTGACTAAGAATGTAGTACCGGTATTTCTATCTGTTACATAAAACAAACGACTGTTAGATCGTAGATTTCCGGCAGTAGAAGTTTTCGTGCATGACGATATGTCTTTTGGTTTAGCCTGAAAGTTGCAAGGTGAACGACACCGTCGTGCATTGCTTCCGTAACTACGGTGGTGCCAGCAAATATTATCGTGTTGTCGTGACGTGCTAGGTGACCGAGAAAGACGTCGACGAGACGAGCTTCCAGAACGGCCTGGTCGTGTGCGTGTGGTCAGTGTTTCTAGCTGACTCACTAAGGTGTCGACCTTGTGTTCTAGAGCCTGTATCCTGTCGTGAGTGTCTGGTATTCTGCTAGTGGAAGCAACAGGTTGAGGTGTTGACCTCTCGTACATGCGATCCGCGATTTCAGCGAGTTTTTCTATGTCAATGTCGTCGTCTCCGAAAGCAAGAACTTGCTGAATGTTTGCAGGAAGCCGTCGCAGCCAGATTTGGTAAAAGAGACGTTTATCGATTTCTCTCCCTGCTACTAGGCTTTGCGTATGCCTCGTGAGTTGCAATGGGTTTTTATCAGCTAGCTCTACATTGCTTAACAAACGATCGAGTGCTTGCCTATCCGAAAGCGAAGTGCATCGAAGTACCTCTTCCTTCAACTTGTCGTAAGGCGCTTCTGTGCTGGGTTGAACGGTGTATTGTCGTAACTGCTCAGCGACTTCGTCTGGTAGTGCTGTGCTCAAAATGTCGAATTTAGCCGTCTGTGACGTGAGCTTGTTGGCAGTGAAGTAATGTTCCAGTCGTGCAAACCAAAGATGGGGGTCTCTGGGCTTGAAAACTGGTACAGTAAGATAACTAGTACTAACAGATCCCTGCTCTAGGTTGTTGGAGGTTGAGGGTATAGACGTTCGCGAATAGTACTGAGTATATTAACGCAAGATCTTATACCACCAACTTCTAACTTATTTGATTCTCGTGTACCAAAGGCAAAGCAAAACACCACAATTGCTTGTCCAAATTACGAGATATATTTCGGAACCAAACCGCGGATTGAAGCGGAAGCTAAGCTAGCTGGTTATCATGCACGAAAGTGACACGACGGAGTACCAAGTGGCGGGGATGCTTAACGGAAAGCCTTCAGCTAGACAAGTCGACTTAAACTCTAAGGGTCATCATCGAATGTTCACTGATGCTTCTTATGGTCACGATGTAATTCTTCTCTTAGAAATAATCTATTCCTATGGTCAATGATTTTGGGGAATTATTTACCGCTACAGAGGTATTGGAAGACATGTTACAATTCGTAGAAAAATGGTTTAAGAGCAACAAAATAGCAAACATTATGCACACTAAGAATATGGCAAAACAGAAAAACATGCAATGCAGATGCTTACCGCAGATTACTGCAGAATGTGCAACGAGAGAGCACAAGAATGAGTTCGAAATGTCTATTATATATAAATGTATATATATATATAGATCCGAGAAAGTTAGGGTTTTATTAATCCAGCAAGTGTTATGATGCGTCG